ATATATATATATATATATATATATATATATATATATATATATATATATATATGTTAATCCCTAAAAATTAAAATCTAAAAATTTAGAAACTTCAATGTTTTATTGATGTTTATGACTTTTTTATATATGATGTATTGATATTTATGGCTTTCTTGTTGTGTTTTATTATAATTGTTTATAATATTATTGTGTTTTCTTTAGTATTATTGGTTTATTGTGTTAATTAATTGGTACATGTTACTTAATTAAGTTGTTAAAATGATCTAAAAATTAATAACTAAAAAATATGTGTTCACCTAATTTTTTACCCGACTTTCTACCCTATTATTTTGGACGGAATTCGGGTAAAAATAGTATACTTGATCGGATAGGATAGGTAAAAAAAAATTATTTCGCAAAGTATCGGGTAGAATGATAGATAGGGGCAAAGCCAGAAATTTGTTTTCTATTGGGCACGCTTAACCAACAAAATTTAATTTTTTGTCAAATCAATAAAAGTATTGTGGTACATGTCTTTTTTTTTTTTTTAAACCGTGTTGCATATTTAAAGATTCATTAAATATAAAAGGATCAAACGTTAATATAAGTAATCTATTCAAACAATACTCAATAAAAAGAGGCTAATTATAACACTTTGCAAAAAATGAGGTTAATTACAACCATGTATTGTGGACCCTGACAATTTTTAATACTTTGAAAGGATTGTATGAAAACGTTATTAATAATGTTATCAAAAATGTCTTTTTATATATAAGTAATTAAGCTAATAATAATTAATTTCATGTTAAGTCGCATCAATTTTAAAAAAAATTATAACAATTTCAAATAATTATGAATAGCATAAAATTGAGAGTTATCGAAAAAAATAGACTCAATCACTAGGTCATAACTTTTTAACATATTTTCACATTTTTTTGAGTAAAAAATTTGCTCAATTATTTTTTTGCACAAGATTTAATTAGTCCAAACTTATTAGAGTGGTCAAATATGTTTGGTTTTTGGTTATGAGGATGAGCCTAATTCCACCTACCCAATAAAAAAATCATAAATATACAAAGGTGGAAATTTTTTTTAGGTTGGGCATGTGCCCAAGGTCCCTATGTCCCTCCACCCTTGAAGATAGAATACTATAATTTTTATCCACAAGATAGGGTGAACATTCCTATTATTTTAGGAATTTTATTTAGGGTGGACACTTTAATTATATACTCTAATTTTTTTCCTTCTAACCAATCACACTATATAACATATTGATATTTATTATATTATATTTGATATATGAAGTCCATTTAACATAANAAATTACCCGGGGGATCATAGTTGCAAGTCACAAACCACCAGCTATTGTTGCATTGAACCCTAGCACACCCGAGGCGAACCGAGTCACGCCAAACCACCTGAGTATAGTGTCCACACATCTTCCCTTCAGTGCAATTGTTGGAATTATAGTCATAATCTGCCTTCTCTTGCACCCAAAGGTCCACGGCCGCCTTTCCGGTGAAGCCACCGTTGCCAATGGCGATGTTCTCCCCATACGGAACGTTCTGTGAGTGTGTGAGGTTACAGTCTCCCATCCTCTGATTGGCATAGTTTTGTGCATAGGCTGTCAAGTTATCATCCCATGACATATCCCCGACGCCAACCTCGGCACGAGCGGCTTTGTGAGCTTCGAGGTAGTCTTGTTGGGAGTTTTGAGATTGAGAGGAATGAACAATAGCCAAGATTAGGAGGCAAACAAGGGCCAGTGGGGTCTTAGACATGCCCATTTTTTGGTTTCACTATAATGCCTAGGAAAAGCTTAGGGTATTTATGAAAAGCAAGGCAGGATGTGGAGGGCAATATATAGGTGAAGGATAAGATTGCGGTATCTCAGAGATAGCGTACCGAAATTTAATCCATGCTGTTGATTTTAATTTGAGTAATCTGCGACCATTGATTGAAAAAAATTGTGAAGTACTAAAAAATAATAAAATACATGAAAGAAAAGAGGTACCTAGTGGTTTTTTATTAGATGAAAAATAGAGGTATAATACCGAAAAGTAGTACTCGCAATGACAGAAATTACATATACTAAGCTCATGTTATGTTCTATACAAAAAGTGTTTCATTCAAAATTAACAGCTAATAAGACTTGAAATTACTTGTTCATCGAGGGCTATGTTGTTGTGAAATAAATCTAAATTCAACAATCAAGGCTCATAAAATCACACAAAATTGGGTTTAAAGATCCCAAAAATTGGAATTAATCATGAAAAAATTTAAAAAAAATACACACAAAAGAACACACTCCAATTGATGTTTTGAATTGTATAAAAAAACCGGAGGGTTTTTTTTTTGAAAAAAATACATTTATTTATTGCTCAAAAAATATTATTGATAATAACTTAAATAGTTGCCCCTATAGACACAATTTTCCAAAATAAAATTCATAAATACTACCTAAAATCAAGTTTTTGTCAAACCGTCAAATAAAAAAATATATGTTAGCAAAACTAGTGTACAAAAATATAATTAGCAAGTTTACATCTCAAAAAATTGATGGAATAAATTTTAAATTAATTGAAAATAGAAAAAATAGTCGTTTAGGGTTTCTGTTTTAGGATTTACCGAGTCTTATTGATTGTGCGAGGTGAGAGAATGACTCAGTGGTAAAGGTTGATTCTCACCCGCATGTGATTTCAGGTTCTTACATCATTCTCTTCCCTCTCCTTCTCCCACCACCACAAAAAAGAAAAAGAAAAAAAAATGTCTTCCCAGTTGTGTTCTTGTGTGACTTGGTTGGCCCATAAGACTGAAATTTACTGAATGCTTCACTCACGTGGGACTAGGGGTATTTAAATTTTCAATTACCCATAAATTTCGATCATACCCTACCTTATTGATCACCTATCTGAAAAAATCAAATAGGCTAACGGAAGATCTTTTGCTATTCCACAAAAAATTGGATAAGAATATAGAATACTTACAAAATTTTCGTATTCTTACCCTACTCTATCCACATATATATGCTAACATTTTTAATATATATATATATATATATATATATATATATATATATATATATATATATATATATAT